ACACGTATATTGTTGCTTATATATATATATATATATATATGTATTTGTGAACGTTTATTTTACACTTGTGCTTAAGGCTATAATATAAGTAGTCGTAATGAGTTGGAATGTAGGACGAGTATATTGTTTAGATTGATCTTAGGAGATCATGTTAATGTGATGAATGGTTGAGATTTCTTTAAATGCAAATGAAAAGTTTTGAAAGGTAAGAACTGGTTTTTGCTTCTCATTATGTTAAAGAGGATCTTTTTGAAAATTGTATTTATGTAAGTATATTTTGAAGTATGAAATGTCACATATCCTATATATATACGTGAAGCATTCATGATTATAGCTATCTATATGTGCTATTGTTTAGAATTATTAAGATTCTTACTGGATCTTCGTGTTCATCCCATGTTGTAATCATTTTTTAGGTATGGAGTGAAGAGTTGCTTGAGACTTGAAGTTTGTTAATTATTGGCCATGGGGCTTTTTAAATGCAATCGGAATGCCAATGTGTTGTAAAAAGGATTAATCCCTTTTATATATTTCGTTATTTTGTAATTGATGACGTAATGCCTATGGGCGTATATTGTATTTCATTACATGTACATGAGAAAGAATATTGTAATTTATTTCTTCCTAAATATCTTTGATGTTTATTATTATTGAAATGGACTGATTTAAAGGGAAAAGTTAACATTATCTAAGTAATAAAAGTTGGGGTGTTACATCTCCTCTTTATTCTTTCTCTCTCTTCTTTGTTCTCTCTCATTCATAGATCTGAAATGAAATAAGGGCAGGTCAATAGCTCCATATGCTAAGAAGTCCTAATCTGGTAAAGTTGATTGGGTATTGTTGTGAGGATGATCATAGATTACTTGTTTATAAGTTCATGTTCAGAGGAAACCTTAATTTACTTTGCTAACTCTTGCCTTTGATGCTTTCAGTCTTGCAACCCTTTCATTTTTGTTTTTGTTGTTTTGTAAAAATTAGCTATTTCGTTAAAATGTTATCTATTGCAAGTGGTTGAATGATAAGGTGTTTACTTGAACCATATTTGCACTTATCTCTTTTTTCAGTTCGAACTTTAATTAGAGCACATCGACTCCAAATCTGAATTCGATTTTGAAGCTTGAGCTTTGGTTTTGACCTAAATCTGTCTTTTTTAGGTTCAAATTGCATATTTCCATTGGGATTTTTTTTAATTATTTTATTTTGAGCGAAATTGCTGCTTGGATTTGATTTTGAGTTTTGGTTTTGAATTCTGGTAGCCATATCTGGTCTTGCAATCGAAGTGAATGAACAAGAATTGCATATCTCGAATCTATATATATATATATATATATATATATTAATGTAAATTTAGATCTCTTGTTGTTGTTGATGTTGTTGATGAAGATGATGAAATACATAAGAAAAAATAGGCTTGTGAAATTCAACAAACAAGGGGAATTGCGATAGATAAATTCAACTGATAATGAAATTTCAACAGATAAAGACAGAAAGAAAAGAGAGATGTAAAAATTCAAGTTGTAAATTTCAACAGATAGCAAAATTTTTAAAGTAATAAGGGCAAAAAATTGAACATATAGTTAAAAAATTTGAATAGATAATTATAAATTTGAACACATAGTTAATGAAAAATCCACAAGTAAAAAAAAAAAGTCAATAGATAAATTAAAGGATAAAATTGAAACCAAAATGTCCTCTAAAAGTAATGAAAGGACTTCTCACAAAACTATTTAACAAATGGTAGACCTTTCACCAACAAAAAAAAATCTATTAGATCTAATGTCTTATACACTTCTTAGATTGGATTTATCACACATTTTCTCATTTTTAAATATATATTTTTTTAATTTAAAAAAAGTTCAACCTAGTTTTACAATGGATTAAAAAAGTAAATTTTTTTTACTAAAGATTCCAAAAGAAGTAATTTTTTATTTTGTTTTAATACTTTGGCCTTTTTTTTTTTTTTTTTGGGTTTTTGTTTGATTTTTTTTTAAAAACTTTTTCAGATCTTTCTTCATTAAATCGACTTGGGAAAAAAAAAATAGACACAATTAAAAAAAAAAAAATTCAGTAAAACTCGCTGGGCAATATTTGCTGTAATTATCAACAACAGCGCACTTTTTATCTATCCGTCCTGTCTTCACCACCAATGGAGCCATGTATGCATGGTTTTGGGTGCTTTAACATTCATTCATCTGCGTATCCTATCCATCTATCTGGGTTGTATTGTATTGTATTGTTCTTCTTTGTTCCAGATTTCCTCAATCAGAGTCTGATTTTTATCTTCTCCATAAGAAGCTAAAGGTACATTCTTTCCATACCTATCAATTTCACAGTTTTCCATTCTTTCTCAGTTTTGGGTTTCTTTTATTTCCTCAATTTTTTACATCTTTATTCTTTCTTCAATAATGAAACTAATTTCTATCATTAATTACTTGGAGGTGTCAGTATATTAGATTATAGCATGCAATTCTGTTCAAATTATGTACATTTCCATTTCAGTCTGACTCTGAATTCTTTTATTTATTTATTTAATCTTTTAAAATGTTTTGTTGGTGTTTGATTTATTGGCATATGATACAGATGGTTCCAAATGAATTTGGGTATCCTTGTTACTAGATGAGAAAAATTGGCATTTTGGGTTGATATTGGTTACAAATTTGGATGAATAATTTGGAAAACCAGAGACAAGTTGGTCCACTCTGGCAAATAATTGATGAGTTGAAATTTTTTTTGGATTTGTAAAAATGTAGGTAAACTATGTGTTGAGGGAAAATGTAGGTAAACTATGTGTTGAGGGAAGATTTGGTTTGGTGCCAAATATTGAAATCTGTACATGCTTTAAGGTGATTTTTACATGCTTTTTTGGGTTTTATGAAGCTTATAAATAAGCCTCAAAGTTGTAAAGAGAGATTAGACCTAGATGATGAATAATGTTTAAGAAAATATTTAGAAGAGCTCTCTCTCTTTTCTTCTTTTTCTTCTTCTTTGCCCCAGTCTTTCTCTGTATATATTTTCTTCTAATTTTTTTTGATATTCCTGTTTTTTGCTTGTGAATTAGAGGCTTGGAAGACGCATTGTGCCTTTCCTCTCCTATTTTCATTTCTTTTTCTTTCTTCCATGTCATTGTTTGAAGAAAGTCTCAAGAGAGCCAAATTACATCATATAATGAATTTTTCGTTTGGCAAGTGACTGGAAACTATTGTTGGAGGGGTTGGGGATTGGGGTTTTAGAGTTCAACATTAACCAATTTATGATATGTATTTTGTAGTAAGCTGATTTATGAGGAAAGGTTCTCTTTTGGACCCATACTTCCACATAAGCAAAGTCATTATAATAATAATAATATTATTATTATTATTATTATTTTTTTGTGTGTGTCAATCTTCCACTGAGTCTTTACAAATATAAATTAAAATAGTTTGTGGTTTACTAAGAATTTAACTTATGAAGCTAAGGATATTGGAACTATCTTGGGGAAATGGACTACCTTAACAATATTGGCTTGGCAGAACTAATGAAACTTCCCACAAAATCTATGAATCTCTTAATCTTCATCATGATCAGAGCCTATGTGGGTACTTTTTGTGTCTTGAAACTGAAAACTATGGTTAAGAATTGACAGTGTATCTTGAAGTAAACCTATGAAGCATGGTTACTTTGCAAAGCATGCCGAATCTGTGCCTGGTATATATGGGTACCGGTATTTTGCATAATACCTCTATATGTGTACCGGGTACATAAAACACGTACCCAAGCCGAAATAATTATTTTATTTTATTTTATATAAAAGTGAAGTTAGTTTCATAAGACTTTTTTCTATGCTTGGCATGATTTGAAAATTAGGCTTTGCTTTGTATCTTACTTCTAGTATTAAAATGTGGGGTTGTCCTTCCTTAACCATTTAACTAATTTTTTCATTTGTCCAAATTACAAATAAATATCTTTTTATGAACGGATCCAGCCATACACGTACCTTATTTTTTCTAGATTTTACTACATCGACATACCCGTACCGTCCTAGTACCCATACACGTGTAAATAGTTATTTTTTATTTATTATGTTATACATATGAATATTTAAGTTAAATATAATAATTTTTTAAATCTAAAGGAGGATAATAGGTATAAATTTACACCGTTTTGGTTTTATCATTAGATACCGAGTTATTTTACTCAAACTTGGTAATATGTTTTGTGTATGTAAGAGTTGGGAAGTGTTCAACATGTGTCGTGTCATGTTACTTTTTTGTCGGTACTTCTTAGGTCATGTGTAACTTGCCCAATTGTGCACTTTCAATTGTCACCTACCCACCATACACGAGGCAATTGAATTTGCCAATAAATATGTGGCGATATGTGATTAGCAAAATTTAACTTGTCTACAGTAAGAAAGGGTAACAAATTTTATTTCTGACAGTAGAAAAATATGCATATGTAATCCTAAAAATGAAAGGTCATAAAAGACTAACCTGGTCTTTGAAGAATCAAAGATTCTTTAGTTGACCATAAAATGATGCTACGTACACAAAAATGTTATTGTGGCTTAGATTTATTTTAAGTGCGGTGGGGAGGATCACACCAAAAAAGAATATGGCCACACATTGATTTTTATGTGCATATTTATGGTATGTTTTTCCAACTATGCATATAGCTAAAATGCTTTTTGAGGAACTGGTACGTACTTGATAGCCAACCAATAAACCAAGGTACAGCTGTGATCCCAAAGCATGTACCCCATTGCCCCCAAGATAACACCTCTAAATGTGCAAATGTTTTCAACAATTCCACCATTTCCACCTGAAGAACAATGATTATTCCGATGATCCCCCAAATCAACTTTTTCCTCTGTATTCCCTCAACAATATTCCTTTCGAACTTCCTTGCATTGAATATCGTAAAGATTTGGAAGAGAACTAGTGTATTGAAGGCCAATGTGTCATTCACCTTGGTGTTTACGCTGAAAATTAGTTCACCCTGGAACTGTATGGTTAGCAGGATGGTTATTTGATACAAGCTTGAGTCAGCATGTCCCTCCACATAATGTTGGTGATGAATGGCTCGGTGCGATTGATAAGTGGCTTTTGCATGACGCTCATGGTGGGCTGCTCTATAGTTGTAGCCAGAGCAGCCAATGTACCCATGACCAACTTTACCCATAGTAGTTGAAGCGATGCATACGATACTTTACCAGTTGAGATGGCTGCCACTATGTTGATTGTAGGGGGTTCACTAGCTGAAATTGCAGTTACAAAGTCAATTACCAGTGAAACGATGCTGACAGTAAGCTGGAACTTAGTGAATGTTTGGAAGTTGATGTATATGCCTCTCCCGCACCTCAGAACTTTGACTACAGAAACAAAATCATTGTTCAGGATGACAACATCCAAGCTCACCTTGGCCATATCAGCGCTCTGAATCCCCATAGAGATTCCTACTCTGGCTTCTCTAAATGCTGTTGCATCCTTTGTGCTATCTCCAGTAACTACAACCACATGGCCTTTATGTTTCAAGCATTGTACCATAAGAAGCTTATGGAGATGAGAGGCTCTTGCTATCACACGAATTCTATTGACTTTCTCCGTTCTCTCGTCGTCTGTCCAGTTCCTAAATTCCTCTCCATCAACTACTTCTCCAGTGGCAATACCTTGATTTAGATCAATTATACCACAGTCAATGGCTGTAGCTTCTGCAGTGGACCTGTCGTCTGCTGTGATCATTTTGATATTCACTCCGAGACTTTGGCAATCTATTACAGCTTGTCTTGCCCTAGGTCGATATGGGTCATTTAGGCCCACAAACCCTAATAAGATCAAACAATCCTCTTCTAGCATTTGGGTGTAATTTTTGTCAAAATAATTTTCTTGTGAGAGTTCTTTATGTGCAAAAGTAATGCACTGGCAGCCAGTAGTTACCAGGCGTTGAATTACTTGCCGCAATTTTTCCCTTTCTCGATTGCTAATGACTAAGATGTTCCCAGTGGCATCATAATAGTGTGAACACATAGCTGATATTGCCGCTGGTGATCCTTTGTGGTGCATGCGGATTGTTTGGTCAGCCTTCTTCCTGATCATAACACTTTGTATCTTCTCCAAATTGAAGGCTTCATCATAGAGAATGTCACAGCTCTTCCTCAGTTCCTCAATATTCATGCACATGCTTTTGACACCCCAGTCATGAATTGCTTTCTCAGAGAGTTCAGATGGAGACCCTGAGGGATATTGTGTTTCATTCAAACCAACTCCTTGGCAGAGCAATTCTTGAACACTTGGTGAAATTGAAGATGAAGCACTTTCTCCAATATATTTTGGGCCTACCCAAAACATGGTTACCTTCATTTGGTTCATGGTTAGAGTGCCTCGTTTGTCTGTACAGATCGCAGTGACGGAGCCCATTGCTTCAGAGGCTGAAAGATCTTTTACAAGGGCCTGGTTGGCTAGCATTCTCTTGATTCAATAAGCAAAAGTAACCTTGACAGCAAGCAAAAACCCTTCTGGAAAGGCAGTTGCTGCAATGGTAACTGGGGTTACTAGGATTCCCACTACAGCTTTGAACAAGTAATGTATATTTTTCTTGTCACCAGTGAACTCCCGACTTCCATTATCGCCATGCATATTTCCAGTGAAGTAGCGAATCAACAATATTACAAGAACCAGGAAAGCAAATAGCATGCCGACCATTCCTATAAACCAGGTGAGATTTTTGAGCTTAGCTTGTAAAGGCGTCTTCTCATCAAAATCATAGTTTATTTTGCTCATTGTCTGTCCCCATTCTGTGTTCGTGCCGACTGAAGTCACAAGCATCCGAGCATCCCCATCAATGACCTTGGTGCCAGAAAGCAAGAACGGATTAAAGATCTGGTCGACTTCTTCAAGTGGATAACTTTTTGCTGTGATGCTTGATTCATCTACCTTTAATGGGTGTCCATCTAAGAGCAACCCATCAGCAAGAACTTGATCTCTGATCTTCAATGAAACAACATCTCCAACAACAACATCAAAAATTGGAATCTGCTGTTGCTGTCCATTTCTTGTGACATCAACCCAGATGTCGCTGCTGCCTTGGGATAACTTGTTGAATTGTTTTTTGAGCCAGAAATTAATCGAGGCAGAGACAGCAATGACTAGGAAGACGGCAATGAATGTGCTGGCACCATCAGAGCATCCTTTGAGCCCATCCTTGTGAACTCCGAAACCATGAGAAAGAGCAGCACAAACAAGTAGGATGAGAATAATGGGATCTTTAAATGCCTCCGCAATAGCATCCATCACAACTTGGAGTGTCTTTGCAGGTGGCTTCCTATAGGAGTTGGAGCCAAAGATGTTGCGTCGAGAGGCAATGTCATCAACATCGCCTTTAATCCTATTCTCTGCATTGGTTTGGAGCTTTGCGACCACACCCTCAACCCCTCCAAACTGTGCAAGCTGGGTGGTGTTTCTCTTCCTAACTAGCTTGCTGAGGCTTGAGTGATCGATACTAGGGAAGTTGTCCGGCTCCACATCAACCACAAAAAAAGATGGCGCATGCAAGAAACACTTCTGGTTTGGATTCGCTTTGTGCAGAGCCAGAGAGAGCCAGGCTTCGGTACAATAAACTATAGTATAAGCCAGTTGCCACCACTTCTGGGCTTTGCTGCTAGAAATTTGCACCAACTTTCTGCCATCAATGCTTGCTCTTAAGACGCAATACATGGAAAAAAGGATCAAACAGGATGGAAGCTATGGAATTTGGAGATGCCAAGGTTGGATTGGTTGGTTGATATTGGGTACCAATTAGGCATCAGAATGATTAAACTGTTAAAAAGTTTTATAAGTGATGATGAAGGGTATGCTCTTTGTAAGGGGATGCCTTGAGTGTTCTTAGGTAGAAGGTTTGATTGGAAGAACTTTCCTAGATTTTCTGGGTAATTGCCTGTATGGTTCTCAGAAACTCTTTAAGAAAATGACTGAAATTTAGGGTCAACTGACTCAATTCCCTCATTTTTTTCTGGGAAATTGCCTGTATGGTTCTCAGAAACTCTTTAAGAAAAGGACTGACTTTATGGTCAACTGACTGAATTCCCTCTTTTTTTTCTGGGAAATTGCCTATATGGTTCTCAGAAACTCTTTAAGAACATGACTGACTTTAGGGTCAACTGACTCAATTCCCTCATTTTTGGAGTTAATAGAACCATGATGATGAGCTTTTGATTTTAGTTAATGGAAAATGGAAGATCGAGAAGCCACCAAGTGCTAATTAATAACTAACTTTGGAAACTCAGGAGGACCTAATATTCAGTTGTTCTTGGAGTATCATTTGACATTGTTCAGTGTTCTCAACTAATAATGTAGCGGAAAAGTTTATGGGTGAGATAATGTTGACTCACTTTGTTACATATTTGAGAGAAGAGATGATTTGCCAAGTGCATTTTAAAATCGTACTTGTCATTTAATTTTTAATTTTTCAAAACAAATGGATGAAATTATATATAGCTATGATTAAGTGATGGAGCTTATCCAATTTGAGTTGTTGAAATGGATACTACACAACTGTGGAATCTCCAGATTAAAGCAGAGTACCTTACCTGCCTTCACTTCAATTGGATACTTTTCTATCAGGATTGATCAAATATTCAACAAGAAGTATCTATCTGCACCTCTCCTTCCTTCTCACCCAAGCATACGATTTTCTTTATTTATTTATTTATTTTTAAATATATATATATATATATATATATTTTTGGTGAAATATATATGTATGTATTTGTTTTTGTCATTATTGAACAACTTAAACAATAATGTTGATATATATATGAGCATAAAAAGAAAGTGGTTTTGTTATGATTAATTTAATTTTTTATTTAAAGTATTATATATGGAGTGGTTTTGCTGTATATAATTTACTCTATATATATTGACTTCCGCACCTGTTGTGATTTATCAAAAGAAAAGATTTTTAGATATCCACCCAGATATATATAAAGTAATGTTATACAAATTAACAAATTTAATAAAAAAATTAGTTACTAGTATGACACCTATCACATTATTAAAGTGGAGCATGTTTTATATTCCAAAATTTATTATTGCATAACTCATCAGTTAGTATGGCAAGTTTGTAAAATTTATTAGTTTATGAAAGAAATTGGTACTATTAAAAAATGTGTCTCACATTTACTAGCCCTTTAGGTGCTTTCATATGCATCCAGATGAGCCATGAATGGTTTTGGGTGCTTTCATATGTATCTGCCACGTCTGGGGTGTATTGTTCTCTTGCTTCCAGAATTGTTCAATCAGAGTCGGCTTTAGGTTTTCTATGAGAAGGTAAAGGTATATTCTTTCTTTCTATACCTATCAATTTCACACTTTTCCATTCTTTCTCAGTTTTGGGAGTTTTGGGTTTCTTCTATATGCTCAATTTCTTGCATGTTTATTCCTTCTTCAATAATAAAACTGATTTCTATCATTTCTAACATTTTTCTTATAAAAAACAATTCTCTGATTCTTTTCTTTAATATTGTTTTGGGTTTCTTTTATATGCTCAATTTCTTACATGTTTATTCTTTCTTCGATAATGAAACTGATTCCTATCATTTCTAACATTTTTCTTATAAAAACAATTCCCTGATTCTTTTCTTTAACATTGTTGGCTCAGCCCTTGGTTCCCAAATTGAATGATGATATATTCTTTAATGTGCGGGAAAAAAAGATGATGAATTTATAGTGTATTGACTAGAGAACTTAACAACTTATTTTCTAATCAAATTGAATGATCTTCAATTTTGTATATATATGATAATAGATATATGGGTATTCACAATGAGCTCAAATTTTAATTTGTTAAAAGTTTCCTTCTTGTGGGCCAATGTGCTGATTATTTTTGGTTTGTGAAAAATTGGATTAGTTGTTGCTTGATCTTGTAAGCCATACTGGTGATCCTATCTAATTATTAGTGATTGGTTTTCTTGGGATTAAGGTTTATCTTTGTAACACTGTAGCTTGAGTGTAAGATAAGGATGGAGCATTGATACCAGAAAATGCATATATCCTAGTGAATTATGTTTTGGAACGCGTTCAGAAACATGGTTTCACTTTCATTCCGAAAAGATAAATTTAGCAATCCAAGGCGATCCCACAAGGCTTTTCCAATATATTTCCTTATGGTGAGTTTGGTTGGAGGATTTGGAGAGGGATTTGGAAAGGGAAATGGAAAAAGTAGGTGAAATGTGAATAAAATATGCTTATATTTCACCTAGTTTCACACACTTTTTCCCTTTCTCTTTCCAAATCCTTCCCCAAATCCCCCAACCAAACATAGCATTAAGGTTTTCTTAGGAGTAAAAAAAAAAGAAGGTAAATATAATGAACTAAAATCTAATTTGAGTGAAGTTTTGGCATGAGAAAACGTCAAAAGATGAGGCATAATGCTCATGGCAATGAGTTTTTATTAGTGGGATAAATAATCCCATCTTGTCCACATTTGTCTTGCAATGGATATGGCAATATACAATCGTAATTATACATTTGTTTTTCATTATTAGTTGTAGAATTAAAAAATTTGTCAATTTTGTTTGATAGAATGTTCATTGGAATAACAAAACTGCAACCAAACGCTAGAATGTGAGTCTCATGGATTAATAATCCCAATCCTATGCTATAATCTGCCCAATCAAACAGGCCCACAGTTACCATTCCCATTTCCTGTATCAGATTGATCCACATTCTAAGTAAAATAGGGAGGGTGTTAGGTGATAAGGGCTATCTTCTTCTTGATGGGTAAAGCTCATAAGGATTGTCTATATGATGGCCAAGTCCCTACTCTCATACAACAAGCTTCTTAACTCCATATGATGAGTGCATACGATGTGGAGAGAATAAAAGACCTTGTCTCAGGTTTGACCAATTTTATAAACTGATTTCATGTTTCATAGCCCGCACTAGATTTGTTCAAACTGTTTCCACAATCCTAGTGAAACAGAATCTTGAAGATTCAAGCGTGGAGGAGATCGACTTAGTTTCATTATTAATAAAGATCAAAGACTGTAAAATATTCTTTAAGGTTTTGGAGAACTTTCTCTTGTGCTTTATGTATTGGTGGTCACGCTTGTAAGTGTGAGTTCTAGAAAATCATAACAGAAATAATTTCAAAATAATCATCACTTCAGTATTTGTTTATTTTAGAGAAAGATCAATAATTACTTGGTGGATGCAATCAATTTTTGTTGGAATAAATATTTATTTGCCTCGTGTAGGTCCATTTGACAAGGGGCTTAATATGGTTACTCTAAGATTCACTTAAAAACTATATAGTTGTAAGTAACGTAGGGCCAAGCATAACTTTGCCCAACTGTGCACTTTTAGTTGTGACCCACCATACACATTGAAATATTTAATTTGCCAATAAATTAGTTAAATTTTACTTGCGATTTCTGTTATTTAATTTGCCGATAAATATGTGGCAATATGTGATGCTAAATTTAGCTTGTCTACAGAAAGAAAAAGTAATCCAAATCTATTTATGTAAATAGAAATATGCGTACATAATCCTAAAAATGAAATGTCATAAAAGACTAGCATGGCCTCTGAAAAATCGAAGAGTCAATAGCTGATCATATGTGTCTGTAATTTAAGTTCTGCCAAGTAAGATTTCTGAAAAATGGTTTTTCAGGAACTGGTATATACTCGACAAACCAACCAATAAGCCATGATACAGCCGCAATCCCAAAACATATCCCCCATTGCCCCCAGGACAACCTCTCTGTATCTGCAAATGTTTTCAACAATTCCACCATTGCCACCTGAAGAACAATGATTATTCCAATGATCCCCCAAAACAACTTTGTCCTCTGTATTCCCTTGAAAACATTCCTTTCAAACTTCCTCGCATTGAATTTTGTAAAGATTTGAAAGAGAACCAAAGTATTGAAGATCAGTGTGTCTTTTACCTTGGAATTTACTTTAAAAATTGATTCACCCTGGAACTGTATGATTAGCAGGATGGCAATTTGATACAAAGCCTGAGTCAGCATGTCCCTCCACATAATGTTGGTGATGAATGGGTTGCTGTGGCTGATCGGTTGCTTCTGCGTGACCTCCTTGGTGGGCTGCTCTATAGTGAGAGCCAAAGCAGCCAATGTACCCACGATCAGCTTTACCCATAGTAGTTGAAGCGTTGCATATGGAACTTTACCAGCTGAGATAGCTGCCACTATGTTGATGGTAGGAGGTTCACTAGCTGTAATTGCAGTTACGCAATCAATCACCAGTGAAGCGATGCTGACAGTAAGCTGGAACTGAGTGAATGTCTGGATGTTGATGTATATGCCTCTACCCCACTTCAGAACTTTGACTACAGAAACAAAATCATTGTCCTGGATGACAACATCTGAGCTCTCCTTGGCCATGTCAGTGCTTTGAATCCCCATAGAGAGTCCTACATCGGCTGCTCTAAATGCCACTGCATCGCTTGTGCTATGTCCCGTTACTGCAACCACATGGCCTTTAAGTTTCAAGTATTTTACCATAAGAAGCTTGTGGAATGGAGAGGCTCTTGTCATCACACAAATTTTATCGACTTTCTCCATTCTCTCCTCATCTGTCCAGTTTCTAAATACCGCTCCATCAACTACTTCTCCTGTGATAATACCCTGATTTTCCTCAATTATACCACATTCAGTGGCCGCAACTTCTGCAGTGGACATGTCGTCTCTCGT